TTTACCAGAAATTTGCACCCAATAAAGGGAATGTGAAACCAAAACCTGATTCATCTAAATTTGGCTCAGCTGTAACTGAGTGTTTGTCTTATACAAGAACAGTAAAGACATACCGTGCTGAAAATCAGCATTTTTCTAAACTGGCTGTAATTTCTGGCTACATGTCTAAATGTATGTAGCATAGGCATGCATGTTTGAATGTGGGCATACATGCAAATATCTAGGGTTATTCTGGCAATATGATGTCTGCAGCTAGCCTTCCAAATGGTGCTTGTTCCAGGAAAAAATAGCTTAAGATAGAGACATGACATGTAAAGCTTCTGCCTACTGTAGCAGTTTAAAATATCAGGGAGATTTTGACTTTCTTATAGAAAGCTTCAACTCTTGGAGTCATATGAATGTGAGCAAATCTCAGCTTCCACAAAAAAAAACCCCAAAAAAAAAACCACACAAAAGCCCCCAAAAACAATAACTAAACCAAACCAAAGCAAAAAAAAAACCCAACTCAATGTACGTGAAACCTTAAAAATGCTGATGAGCTTGAATGTAAAATTCTTATGCTAGAGAAAGAAAGAAAATTGAAGACCTGCAGAAATGTTATGTATGTATATATGTCTGTAGGTGTATATGGATCTATCTAAACCTCCTGGATTTGAAAGATTGGGGTTAGAAGCAGTGTGGCATTGTGCTCCTCCAAAATGGTTTGGTTCTAGTTAATTGCACACTTTCAGGATTCATCCATTCCTGTCATAGCACTTCACTAATTTTCATTTTGTTAAGTACAGAACAGTTACATGGGGAAGACATGGCTGCAGCACTCAGAGGAGAAGCTGTTTTACTCTGCATCTTGTTGAATTTGTTTCATGATTCTTCTGATGGCTATAAAATACATCTAAACCACAGAGAGTGCACTGGGTGATGTGGCATTGCTGAGCTCAGTTAAATAATGAGATGTGTTTCATTCAAATCAGAATAACTCTAAGCCCTGAATACTAAATAGGGCAGCAAAAAGCCTTCAAGCACACAAAATAAATGAGTAAAAAACCCAAATGAAACTGTCTAATAAATACAATGTGGAGCAACAGGCTGCATGTACTGAAGGAATTAAGGCAATGTGAACCGTATGGGCAGTGCTGCACTCTCAGATGTGCAGCTCCAGTGGCAGTTGGATGCACACATCCAGGGCAGGCTCTGCCTCGGAGCACACGCCTGGATTTGATAGCATAGGTTTATGACCTCGTAATCCTAGAGCATCTAAAACAGTAAGAATTCCATCCAGCTTAAAATAGCTGCTGTAGTTGCTGTTGATACAGGCTCAAGGGCTCCCCGGCTCTGGGGCCAAATTTGGTGCTGGCATGGTGGGAGGAAGTCTGTTGACAGCTGATAGCAGTGGAGTTGCACTTGATTACATCATAAGAAATTTGGCACGTGGCGCTGAATCAGAGGTCTGAGCAGAAATGTCCATTCCCTCATGCAGAGTTAAAACTGGGACTTTCACATTGCCAATCCACAGAGATTTGTCTCTTTTCAGGGTCTTGCTTTAAAAGCGCATTCCCCCAGTTCCACTCAGCATGGTGACTGAAAAAAAATCCCTGAAGGACTGGATTTTGCTGTCATGCCCAAAGAGATGAAGTCTCTAATCTTCCCAATGCCAGGGTTCTTTCTTTTTATTAAAATACTAAGTTGTTGAAGTGATTTCCATGAAAATTAATTAAAACAAATTAATGAAAAGCAGCTGAAAAATGGACTCCTCTACTGAAACTCTGGTATGCAAACTCTTAACCTCAATCACATTTTTGTGGTTGCTCTATAAACACCTAAGTGTATAGCAGTGATTTGTCATGGTATTTTTTTGATGGAAAGTCTTAGAAAGTGAGGCTATACTGCATAAGACATTTTCTCTCAGTTTACATACAGCTTTATATAATGCATGTGCTTACCTGCTCCATTTAGTAATATTAGTAATCTGCAGTTAAATCTTTGCTCTTCAGTATTGGGGAAAAAAAATGTAAAAGATGCTGTCAATCTCAGGGTTTCTCCATCATGTTTTTTGCTTGTGGGGGACAGGAGGGCAGGAGGAGCCTTTTTTATGGGACTCATACCAGCCTGGGGCATGGGTTGTCCACTGCAGAAAGCAGAGCTGAGGTGGAGCTGTCCTCTCTAAAATCTGGGTCCATCTGGGATCTTTGGATCATCTGGAGGTGTGGTGGGTAGTTTCTGCAAATGGCTCTGGCAGGTGTGCAAAGTGTCTGTGCTTACAGCTGTGTACAGAAGGCAGGGCTTAGCCCCTGCTGTGTAGTAAATATAACACTTGCATTCTAGAACACGTTAATGTTTTAGTTCCCCATGTATATTTATTATTGCCTTATTTGTATTTTATGTTCACTTTTCATGCAAAGATGTGGCAGGGGTTTGTTTGCTTTCTCTTATTTTCTCTGAGAATATGATGGAGATCACTTTATTAAAGGTAGAATGTTGTGCACATTAGAGGACAGGTATGGCAAGGTTCAGTAAAGGGCCTTGTAAAGGATTCCTTACATAACCTTCAACCTTGAAAGGTCCACTCAGTCTCCTTGGAGAATTGTCAACAAGCTCTGCCAGCGAGCTGCTCCCTGGAGAGAGGAACCAAAAGCTTTCACTACCGTCCTTCCCTTGGAAAATGAGCTGACTGCTTTCTCCAGTGTGTCTCACCCAAGCACAGCATCCAGCCCTTTGGGCCAGGAGAGTTCAGTAGAGGCAGTTGGCTTGAATAGATTTTATTTACTATGTTCCCCTTGGGACTGATGTGAAAAAATCCCACGTTTTCTGCCTAGGAAGCTTTGTGTGAAGTCCTCCATGAGCTAAACATTTCAGAGCAGAAGGACCTCCACAGGGAAGTTTTCTACCCGCTGACATTTGCCCATAACCATTTTGAACCAAAAAAACCACCAAAAATCAAAGAGGTTAATGAAACCAAGAAACCAAGAGTGATTTTCTCTAAGGAGTGCTAGCAGTTTCAGCAATTGCCATTACTTAATGTGCAAGCAGTTCCCGAGATTGTGCATGCTAGACCAACTTCATCCTTGCTGTAACTCCTCAGAACTCAGTGGAGTTACATGAGGGATTAATTTGGTCCATTGCTTTCAGCCATCAGTTTTAGAGAATATGAGAATATACAACAATCGAGGGAACTATTATTGCCAGCATTGGTTTATGAATCTTTAGAGCTGCTCACTATTTGTATGTTACAGATACATAAGCAGGGTGAGTGTATGGAGTGAAGTTATGGGTTCAATGTTGAAGGTAGTGGATTTTGCAGAGTTATTTTTGTACCATTAGAAGTAATAAACATTCTAGCAGCCATTATTGCTGTGAGTCTTACATAGATGCTTGAATACAGATGCTTGAAGCATGCTTGAAGCATTTCATCTGGCAGACCACATGAAGCATAGAAAATATTTGGAAATTTCTAAGTCCTGTTATTGCACCAACTGGCTGATGATCACAGCGTTCATGAGAATTTAGCTATACTTACTGCACCAGGGAAGTAAAGCTAGCTTACGAGGCAGCCATGAGGGCAGAGACAAAAGAAGATCTTTAGAGTAGTTCTCTGTTTTCTTAAAAGCCAAATTGTCTCTATAATTTTCAGAATAAACTGAGGAAAGCATCAGATAGTACATCTGAATTGTCAGATGGTGAATCTTGTATCTGCACATAAGTCAGATATTTCAGTACATGTCAGAAGCTGTGGACGACTGCCTGAATCTTTAGACCATATGTAGGATTGTTGGATTAAGTTATTTAAGTTTGAACTCTGACTGGAACAATGAGATAAGAACCAGTTCTGTTAAAGATGTATGCACTGGAAATTGAGTGGTCGATGCAACTTTACTTCCTGGTCATGGATAAGACAGTGAGCCCCTCTCCTGGTTTGGTAAATCAGCTTTGCACTGATTTCTTGTTCACAAAGCAAATTTGTGTGATCCCCGCTCTGGTTCCCTCCCTGCTCAGTGCTGGGAGTTCTTGCACAGCACATGATTGTGTGTTGGCTTGTTGGTATTTCTTGCCCTCTGTTAGGGAGGCATATTTGGGCAGTTTTGGAATGGTTTTGTCTTTGCAACGTATTAAAGTTTGGGTCACCCAGGGAATGAGCAAAGTTGCTCTGGCTTGTACTGGGCACAGAACAAGTGACAGGCTTCTCTTTACGCCACTTCTCTGGATCTTTCTGGTCTTTTCTTCTCAAGAACATTGATTTTTGCAGAATTTGGCTGTCTGAGTAAGACCTTGTCCATATTTCCTGACAACTGCTGGCATCTCCAAACTGTGGGGTCTTGGATTACTTTCCCATTCCTGGGGAAGTTCTTTTTCAACCTCGACTCCACACTAAGGCAACCCTTCTGAGGGTTCATCATCCTACACCGTGTCTTGCTGCCGTGATTTCTGCTGAAGAAAGGCCAAGAACACAGGCCAGAAGCATCCTGCAGCCTGCTCCAGTGCAGGTCTGCCCCATCAGCATCCTGGACAGCAGAATGTGCTGTGTGCTGCAGCTGCTCCTTCAGTCTGGAGTAGTTCCTCAGCCTGGTGACTCCGGGGTGGGTGGGTACACAGCCAGACCAGCTAGAGGAGCTAAACTTGAAGCATCTCCAGAGCCATGGTGACATACTGAGAGCAGTAACCATCTCCCTCAGCTGAAATGGTTCATTCGTGTTAAAATGTCAGGACCATTAACATGCAAGTGAGCCTTTTAAAAATTTGAGGCCAATGGCCCTTGTCCTGGAAAAGATTTGAGGTAATTGTGTTGGTTCCAGCACCATTATCTATGAAAAATGTACTCATACAAATAAAGGTTTGTTGGCTGGGCCTCCCATTTTTGTTAGCTTTACTTTATTGCTGTAATTACACACAGTAGAGTCATGTTCTTATAAAGAAATTAAGACAATTAATGCTACTTTTAGTAAGAGTGAAATAGTAAGTAAAATTAAGTTGAAATTTGACCAAGCTTTTCTTTTTCTATTTCCTAGTGTCTGAATTACAGGAAGAAGGAATAAATGCCATTAACTTACCTCTCAGTCCCATTCCATTTGAACTAGACCCCGAGGACACTATGCTAGGTAATTCACAAAAATTTTACATCTCAACGTGAAAACTTGGTGTAAAATGAAGTGTTGTGCCTGGGATAGTTTCTAATGTTTTTCTCTTAAACCTTCCAGAGGAAAATGAAGTCCGAACAATGGTGGATCCAAATTCAAGAAATGACCCAAAATTACAAGAACTAATGAAGGTAATTAAAGCATGTAAACCCTGTCAGGAAAGTGGAACTACTTTTTAATGCCATCCCTGCCTCTTTCACTTGAATACTTGAAAACACTAGTTAGATATTAATTAGTTGGAACCACGTGTGTACATCCCAGTGAAATGGGGAGGTCATTTGTGGTAGTATCTTTCTCTAGTTGTGGCACAGGGAGACTTAAAAGTTTCTGTTAAAATCCTGAGTCCAGAGTCTCTGTCCCATCCCACCCCCAATCAAAGATCACACTGATTTTCCCTTGTCTTTGTGATTCTTGGGGCTAGAAATTTAGCAGGATGCTTCATTAAAATCAACTTCAGCACCTTTTGCTTCACAATAAGATGTTAAAATGCTACTGAAAGCAAGGGAAAATTTTCAATCCAGAAGATACTGCATTAATTAGTGTTTGTCTAGACCTTGTGGTGCATTGGCACAGCTACCTCAGATGACTCCTTCCTGAGTCTTCCCTGTTTGCTCCTGAACGTATGTCAGACTGTATTTTGAGCCACTGCAGCTTTGGTATTTCTGCTAAGAAAAATGACATGTGGTTTAAATTGGAAATGAATAGTGTGTAATACTGCCAAATTTGTGTTTCCCACATAGGTATTAATTGACTGGATTAATGATGTGTTGGTAGGAGAGAGGATTATTGTGAAAGACTTGGCTGAAGACCTGTATGATGGACAAGTATTGCAGAAATTATTTGGTAAGAAAAAACACACGTGCACAGTGTTGAGGCACTTTGTCAAGAAGTGGATCTCTTGTTCCTCCTCAGGAGCCTCGGTATCATCTTACATTTATGCCACTAAGTGATACAAAAATAGCATTGTGTTATGAGACCCCTGAGCAATGGGCTATATGCACAGCCCTTGTGGCTGCAGTGCAATGTGTGGTGCTCTGCAGCTGATGAGAACAGCACAAAGCCTGCCTGGAGTGCTGCAGAGGAAGGGCTCTTGTCTTGGCAGCAGTATTCACTCCAATTAAATTTATTATCTGCATATGGGCTGCACAAACTTCACCATGTTACAAGTGGAAAGTAAGTTTGAAGGCAAGGGCATTCTCAGTACCATGGTGGATGTTTTTAATCTCTGCTCGTTCCATGCTGCAGTTTCTTCATCGCAAGGTTCCTCTGGAAAATTGGAATTTCTTTCTGGTTTGATGTCTGGCTTTTAACATGACTGAGGTAACGGTGCCCAGTGGACTGCAATCTGAACTTCAGCTGAGAAGCATAGAGAAAAGAAGCTGCTAATGCAGAGTTGGCATGTGCTTTTTACACTGTTGGCTTGAAAGCCATTTTCTTAGTTATTACAACCCATAAAGTCTCCAGTAAATTTCTTTCCAGTATCCTAAATGAATCTTGAAACATCATGTGAGCATTTCTAATAAAGACTTCACAGACTATTCCCTTCTATGAATGGTTAAGCTGTTGAATATATTGTGATGGACTGGATATGCCCAGACTGAGCAATTGGATTGTCATGGGCAGACCTCCAATGACTTCACCCAAAATTCAAAAAATGTGTATCAGGCACAGCCTGACTCTAAATATGCATACAATGATCTAGCATTTATTGATTGCAGAGGAATCTTTTCTACTAACCTTAATACCTTGTGGATCAGGTCTCTGCTTGCTAAATCTTCAGTCTTGTGGTGAGACTGTGCACAAACTGATTTCTGAGGAGGTGCAAGAAGCCTATGGAGATAGCAGCTCTCAGGCAGGATTGGGAGGCAGCTGGATTAGGAGATAGTGGTATCTTAGGCAGGATTAGCAGTTAGTCTCTTAGGCAGGATTAATAAATAGTGCTATTTTAGGCTGGTAGTTTAGGCTCACTCACTTTGGGAAGATACTCAGTTGGCTTTGATGGGAACAAGATCAGCTCTTAACCAAATAAGATAAATCTTAACAAGATACTCTTTTGTAGAACTAAATTGATAAGTGACCAAGCATTTTGTTTCTGGTGTTGTCACCAGGGAGCTGCTGTATTTTCTTTGCTTACTCTTTAAGGGTAAACAGTAAACCATGTATACATAGCAACTGTACTAATTGTAACAAACCAATTCACAAAGTATTTTAACATCTACTGCAAATTTTCAGTGCAGAAAATGGCTGTGGTTTCATGGAGAGAAATTGCCTGAGGTTTTAGTTGTTTTCATGAAAACCTGTTTGCCTTTCTTTGATGCATCCTCTGCCTCTATGAATATGGAATCACTTCAGTTTTATCACTACTAGGCCAAGTAAAATTTTTATCTCCTGCATCTGAGGTAGAAGCTGGGAGGCTGAGAATGATGAAATGAAGTTGGTGTCTGTTTCCTAGGTTTGATGATCTGCTGTACAAGCCACTTGCATGCAGAATAACCTTCATCCAAGTCTGGTGCTTCCTAAAGGGAGCTGCAGCAAACATTTGTTAGCCAGTGGTGTGGCATAGAGCAATACTTGGCCTTCTCCTTGTCAATGTGTAACTAAAGGCAGAATGTGAACTTTAGGAGCTCAGAAGTGTGGAGGGAAAGTGGCTCTGGAAAAACACTTAGATATAAAATTAGGAAGTCTGATGTCTCCTGAATGTACATCTGGGTATATGGAATGTCTTTGTGTTCTTCATGGAGCTGACAATTTTTTTCCTCCATTTTTTCTTCTATCACTTCAGAGAAGCTTGAAAGTGAGAAGCTGAATGTTGCAGAAGTTACTCAGTCCGAAATTGCTCAGAAACAGAAGCTACAGACAGTGCTTGAAAAGATCAATGAAACCCTTAAACTCCCTCCAAGAAGCATTAAGTGGAATGTTGACTGTAAGTTTCGTGTTTGCTATACTGTTCTCATGTGTTGGCAGCTGGGAGGTCGTAGGTGTCATCTGGGGTTCTAAAATATCCAATGGTAATGGATGCTGAAACCTGGGATTTACGGTAGGAACTGCTCTGAAGGGCACTTCCAGATGTGCCACTCTGTCCTCTTTACTGGTGCTTTTCTGTTTCAGTTAGGTCTTCTCAGAGTCTGTCCAAGCGTGGTGGCTTTGCTCTGAAGTCCATGTGCATGCCAGCTTAAGTTTTGTGTTGCTAAATTGGTTTGTTGAAACAGGCAAGTACCTGCAGAAATGCAGTAGATGGACATAAGGAGATTTAGGTCCTAGAACTCTGTGTGAAATTTGCAACACAGATAGGAATAATATTTCTGATCATTTCAGGCAAAGTCTGAACCACTAGTTTTGGTTACAAAACTCTAATCAAGACTAATTCTGTGCCCTTCCTGATCTATTGTATTAAGAGTGAATATAGCAGTATCTAATAGAAATGTCTTCAGTGGCCCAACACAAGACACTTCAGTGGATATATATTGCAGAAAGCAGGTTATCAGTTTTAGAAAATGAGGCCTGTTAATCTGTTTTAAATTTGGTTTTCAGAATAATTTCATGCTGGTGAATACTTTCACCAGTATGTCACATTTTCCCTGTCTCCTGTACCTGTCTTGTGCTGGGCAGTTTTGTATCCTGTTCCATTCACAACACATTAGTTAGAAGGAGAGAAATTTCTCAAGGGAGGAAGAGTGAACATTTGGCAATTTGACTTTCCCCTTTCTGTGGTCCTGCTGAATTTTTTGTCCCCTTTCTTTTTTTAACCTGCCCTGAGTTTTCTTCCCGGTCTCTGTTATGCAGCTGGAGGCGGGGTGTTTGGAGTGGCCTGACAATTTAACTCCTAGTTTTAATTTAATGTTTTATATGTGTTTTAGAGCTGGAGTAGAGATAGAGAGCAGCAGCTTTGTCCAGCTGTAGCACACACCAGTGGTAGGCAGACAGACATCTTTGTAGTGTTCTGCTAAAGCACCTCATCCCTGACCATGGGCACTCCAGCAGCATTTGCCAGCAATGCCACATTTTATATGGATGTGTATCTCTATGGTATAGTTGAGACTTGCGCTGTAAGATTATGAAGAAGGATATTTTAGCGAATCTGGTTGTGTTTCAGCAGTGCAGTAAGGTAGCACTTAATGATTAGTTCAAATACAAAAAACCTAAGTGCATGGCAGTGTCAAAGATCTTTTAGGAAGACTACTTTGATGAATGCAAAAACAAATTAGAAGAAGAAGAAGAAAAAGAAGAAAGGCAATAATAAGGATTGGATATTATCCACATGCATGCCAATGGTTTGATACTTGATCAAACAGTTTGGCTTTTGATATCTTGTAAGTTGTGTTAGTGTTAACTACCCATATATGAAACCCGCTGCAAAAAAACTTCAATAGCAGAATTAGAACAACTTCATGAGGAATGTTTGAGTCATTGAGTTTAATAAATTATTGCTTAAGGCTTGTGCCAAAACAGGCTCATTTATCATCCTGCAGACATTGTGACACTTAAAAATGAAAAAGTGCATGTTATGAGTACAAAAATATCTTTCAGATAGTCCATAAATCCTTATTGAAATAAAGGGAATAAAAGAGAAGCAAGGAGAATGCAGAGACAACACTTAAACTGTTGTACATAAAATCTGGCTTTTGGATTAACTTTAGATTTCCATCTCCATGAACCTGTGGCACTCGGATGTTGTAAAGAGTAGTGCCTTGGTGCTGACGCATCTTGCAGGAGATGCAAGGGCATCGCCTTAAAGGTGTCCCCTGGCTCCAGGTGGCAAGAGGAAAGAATCCCATAATCCCTACATCCTAAGCAGAAGTAAAAACCCGTGCCCTAGTTACTTTGAAGTTTGTAACTTGTGCTTTTAATATCTATTTCAGCTGTTCATGCTAAAAGTCTCGTAGCAATACTTCACCTTCTGGTTGCATTATCTCAGTATTTTCGAGCACCAATCCGACTCCCTGACCACGTGTCCATTCAGGTGGTTGTTGTGCAGGTAAGAGGGGCCTTAAACAGCTCTTGGTAGCGTTGTGAAGTTGACTGAGGGGTTTCTTGAAAAATGCATCCAGAGTTTCTGCCTGGGCGGGCACGCGTGTGTCTCTGGCTGACATGGAACACATGTGCATCTTCCCTGCTTCAACCAAAAAAGGCACGAGTGCTTTCCCAGATTGAGCTGTGCCTCACAGTCTCTTACTTTGACTGTGAAGTGGCCAGACTGTGACAGTAAAAATATATGAAACATTATTATTGTTGGAATGTGTTCATCACCCAGAATGATTGCTAGAATTATTATTTTCCCCGTTTTTTGACGCTCTTCTCACTTGTGTAGAGATTCAAATCATTCTTGGCACTGAATGATGAATTGTCACTGTTTATTACATTCACATTTATGTTAGGTGACTAACTTCTTTTTCAGCTCTGTGCATGCTAATTTAGTCTGATTACAGTGTTGGTTTTCTCAAAAGCGTGCAAAAAAATCCCCATCAACTAAATCTTTTGTCAGTCTCCTTATTAGAGCCTCATCCATTCAAACTCTTCATGTTTTCTGTTCATCATTTTTCTTTCAGCTGAACTTGTGCTTTCTCTATCTTGTTTGTCTTCTTCCCATTTAATCTGCTTTTCTTTCTCTCCAATTAACTTTGCCTTTGTTTTTCACACTGCAACTGTCTTTATTTATGTCTTTTAACTGATGTTACTCTGAAGTAACTGGTTGAAAGAACTATTGCTCAAGTTTTGTGTGGCTGAAAACCTACAAGACAGATCTGAGAAAGTAAACATTCTCTCTTCTAGAATTCAAATAGGATAAGTTTTGTAACTTAGGGAGAAATCTGAAGGAGAGTCTCTGGTAAATATGTCACCGATGTCTGGTAGTGACTCATTGACTCAGATTCTGCTTCATGGGTTTCTCTACAGATGATGAAGGAGAATCCCTGGGAATCTGCACTTAGGTGTCTAAGGCTTCAAAGAAACTTAGTTCCTTTGGCTATTATAAATGTATTATTTATACTGGTTTATCTCAAAGTTACACCAAAACCAGTGTAAGAAATCAGTAAGAAATCAAGGGTACAGTGAGCAGGGCAGCTTTATGATGAAAAGCTAAATGAGAGCAATAATACATTCCTTAAAGAAAGAACCATAACCTCTACTGTCATTCCATACCTCCAGACAAAATTCCAGTTGAAATCAGTGGGCATAATTGTCCTCTTGTTAAACAGGCTAACGTAGTTCAACAGCAAATCCACTGAAGTCAGTACAGATAAACCAATTTAAAACAATAAGTAGTGGGAGAATCTGGCTCACTGTTAGTTACACAGCTGCAGCTCAGGCGTCAGTGGTTTGCAGTGGAAGCAGTTGCACCAGAAGAATATCCAAGTAAAGTTGAAGGAGATTTTGTCCTGCAGACCCTGACCTTGGTGAAAGCCAGTCAGTGAAACTCCAGAGCTGTGCTGATTCCTATTAACAGAGGGTGAGGGTCATGTATTTACTGTAAATGTTTGAGACATTTCTCATTTTTATTTTATGGTGGGTGAGAGTTTTATATTTTAAATCTTTGGTATCCTGTGGGACTGATTCTCTGTCATGCATTGTGTACCCTTTGAACTCACAAAGGTTTTACTCAACCATCAGCTGATCCTAATGCCTAATTTAGTGGTTGACTTGCACACCTCATGTTATAAATGCTCATGCATTCTGTAAAGAAAGATCAAGCCTAGAGAAGCTGAACAGACTATGCAGTAGCTGTTTTAAAATTCTGCTATGTATGGTTTGATAAAGAGAACAGGAGAGACAGAAATAAAAGAGCAAAGTACTTTTATGAAGTACTTCCTTAATTCCTTTCATGATTTTGTTAGGCATAGAAACAACATAAAATGCAAGGGTTGCTGTGTTGGCTGGATGTAGTTTATTGAAATAGAAAAAAAACATATTTGTGAAACAAAAAATGTGCTTGTGTCCAAAGGTAATCAGCCTATTTCTTATGAAAGCTTGTTTCCTTTGGCTGTTTTGTACAAAAGCTGTTAGCAATGAGAGTGATATGAAATCTGCGTTTAAGCTGATTTAGGAAAAAATGTGATAGTTGGACCTTTTGTAGCTACTCTATTATTTTCTTTTCCTGCCATAACAGTAGAATAAATAACTTTGAACAATGCCTGGGCTTTGTTTGATCATATCTACTGAAATGGAGAGCTTTTTTGGAGAGCTGGGTCTTGTCATCATTTTGCCTCTTCTTAAAAATTATGTATTTTTACCATCCACAAATGGTTAGATGACAGATTGTTTGTGTCCAAGAGATGGAAATCAGAGAGTGTAAGAATGCATTGTCAGAGCAGCCAGAATGGCTTCAGCATGTTCTGGGGTGCATAAACTACGCTTAGGCAAAGCTAGGAAATTATTGAAACTAGATGAGTGTGTAAATCACAACCCTCATCAGAGATCACTGGTACCACTACCTGGGAAGGTCTGAAATGGTTTGGAGCAGCACTGTCTCCACGTTCCAATGAAGTCTTCTCTGGACCTCTGACAAATGTATTTGTTCTTTCAAGCTCCAGAAGAATTCTGCATTTCACTTTGGTGGGGCAATTATAAAACATGGTCCTCTGGGTGAAATGAGTTGTAACAAGACATAGGCAAAAAGCCATCCAAATAATGGCAAGATTTTCAGACCAGGACTTTGCAGGGGAAATTAAGCAGTTGGCCCTCAGTTACATAAAAATGCTGACACAAAAGGAGATAAGAAGAGATCTTTTCTATTTACAGATGTACTACCCCAGTTTCAGATTATTTTTTTATTCTGTTCTAGGGAGTTGCCAGTTTTAAATGGTAAGTGATTAGGAATATCTTCAGGGACTTCTGTGAAGTCTTTCAGCTGTGAGGGGAGAAAATGCCAAGCCAGTTCATTAAGGTCTTCTCTCATCACTGGAATGCATGTCCAGCTTTTCTTTTTAATGGAGAATCTTAATTCATGCCTCTTGTCTCAGGGACTTTCAAATAGTTAGTGTTGATTTTTATAGTTTGTTGTTTCAATTTTACCTGCTGTTGCCTTTAAGGAACGTGCTGGATTGTCTTTCAGTCCTCAGTAGCACCTCTCTGTATTTTCAACAATATTGTGTCATTCATTGTCTAGTATAAGACAAACCTCACAATAGGTGACATCAGTGTTAGGGTCAATTTTGAGATGAAGAGTTTTTAAAGAGCAGGAGATTATGAGAAGCAGCCTTTAAAGAAGGTGCTTAGACCAGTCTTTTAAAGTTCATTCCATTGGGAATTCACCAGTCTTTTTACAAATCAGAAGTATAGGAAAATCTGTCTTGACATGTGCTGATCAAATAAGTGTTCAGGGGATGCACGCTGTATTTGGGCAGTGTGGAAATCCTATCAGTGTTACTGGTCAGGTGCCAGACACAAAACAAGGGCTTGGGATCACTTTGGTTTGGGGTTTTTTTGTTTGTTTGTTTTTGTTGTTGTCAACAACGAGATTAAGGTGCAGATTTTTTGATTTTAATATATTAGCTGCAGTTCATCAAAAAAGGAAATATTTTTAATATCAGTGCTGGAATATATTTCAGGCAGTTTTTGTGTGCTTGCAGAGAGAAGGTGTAAAGCATTAGAAACCTTTTTCTGCTTCCATATTCCCAGTCTGATCACTGAAAAATACAGATGGCATTGCTTTGGTGCTCAGTCCCTGTGGGAGATGAGAGCAGCAGGGTTCTTGCTGCATAAGGCATCAGTGGCATGTCAGAGTCATCATGAGGAGGAAATAAAAGTTTCCTTTCACCCTGCAGCAAAGGGAAAAATAAACAAAAATACCAAACAGATGGAATTCCAAGTTGTGCTAGCATGAACTAGATTGTAACTGGGAGTTACTTCAGTTAGTACTGGAGGCAGCACTCAGTGCAATCTGCACAAGCTGGAGGTGGAGGTAGCCCTAAATCATGTTATTCTTCTTCAGACTTTGAAGGTGTGTGATAGGCAATGCCTCTGCAGCTGGTCTGTGCCCTCTCTTCCAGTATGTAACACCCTGGACTCCCCTCTGTCTTTTAAGTGCTCCAGGGTCCTCCCTGAATGCATTTTTTCACTGTGTGCAAGATATTTGGAAACTGGACTTTGAAAAATATCACGGAAACCCCCTGAAACTGTCATCAGTTCACATTACTCCAAGTGCCAGTCCGGAGTGATCTAGAGGGCCATGTGCAGCTTTTCTTGCGGAAATAAACATATTTCTTTATATATTTTAGTAATACAGTGTAGAAGGAAAAATATATCAATAATTGTATTTAGTAATGCAGTGTGGAAGGAATAGGCAAGCCTGGCTCAGTTCTCAGCACATCACACACTGAGGACTGCCTCAGGTAGGGATGTGTTTTCTTCTCCAAGGAAGGGAAAAACAGCAGCCCCAATTCACATGCCTTGAAGGATTTCTCTAAAAGGTTATTCTCCTTTTCTCTTTTCCACATAGAAGATGAGTCTAGGACCAGCATAAATCTATTTTTCTCATTTCCTTGTATGACAGGGAGTGAAGAATCATGAGTAATTGCCTGATGTCTAGACTTGAAATGGAATTGTAAGCATTTGCCTGACTTTTCTCTGTGTACTGCAAATTTTTTGGTAATACCAAGAATAATCAAGAATTGACAGATCACAGAGACTGCTCCCATCTGAGAAACATCAGAGTCACTGCTGGACCAGGACAGGATTGTGAATGGAAGCTCCATTTTGGTTTCTGTCAGAAGCCAATAGAGCTCTTAGTCTGCAGAGAAAGGAAACACTGAGGCAAAAACAAAACAAAACAAAACAAGAGTTTGAACAGGGGAAAAAAGAACAAATAGCCTGGGAGTAAGATTTTTGCAAAAGAGAAGCATGGGCACTATCTGCCAAGCTGTTTATTGAAACACAGGGCTTAATTCAGCTCACCTAGACATATCTCCACTAAAATACTTACATATGTGTTTGGGTGTTTCATGTCTCGCTGAATTGGGGCCTTTAAAAGAAAAGTGAATTAAGAACAATGGAGAAAGGAAAATAAATACTTCCTTCTACAGGTGGAGTTTCAGGTTTCTTGTTAATGTATAAAAGAGTTCTCTGAAATACTTGCAAGGTAAAATAATACGTTACTGAAAATTTGTATAAGAAAAGTTCTTATTCTACAGGTTTCTTATCTAATTATGTTTGTGGATCACAAGTTTTTACTGTACCCTATGGATTAAAGTTCACCGAGAAAAATGTTGCTTTTTTCCTTTTTTCAGAAACGAGAAGGAATCCTCCAGTCTCGACAAATCCAAGAGGAAATAACTGGTAACACTGAGTATGTCAACACTACATTTGCCAGCAGTTCAGTAATTGAACACAGATGTGTCTCAGAAATTCAAACATTTGCTGATATTTAGCTTTCAGTATTGGGGTTCCAGGGAAGATGATGCATCAGCCAGTGACTGTATTTTAGCCTTTTCAAGAGCTGCAAACAAGCACCCAAAAATACAAAAGAGAGAGGAAATAGAGAGGTGGGGAACTAGAAGCAGGACTTTAGGTGTGTAAAATGATGATAGTAAGCCTTGCATGTGCCATCTCACTGAACATTTCGTAACAAAAAAGCTATTCCAAACCAAAAGGGAACAGTAGTAGAATATCCAGGTTTCTAATTGAATGGAGAGAAGCTGCACTGCTGATTTAGTATTAATATGTATGGATTTATGTGTGATAGTTAATATGAAGGATCAACTGGAGCAAAATCTTGTAGTCATTAAGAACCCATCCCAAGCCTTGTTTGGGCTGGATTTCTATTGTGGTTGATGTGGTAGACACATCTTCAAAGAAGAGGGAAAAGTTTTCACAAAATCAACATGGAAAAGCCTTCTTTACTCAGGCAAGGTGTGCTGATTTGGTTCAAAGTAGGGAATATGAAATCTGGCCTCCTGTGAGACTTTGGTGAAGACAAGAGATATTATACTGATAGACTCCAGATTAACCCTGGAGTAACTTGGTGAAGTTATTCACAAAATTCTCCTCATTCCATGGATCTACTCCGTAATTCACCAAGCTGAAGACCTTACCATGTATGCTGGGTTTTGTTGCAGCACAATATCTGCAAGTGAATTATATGTAACTGTTTTGTTCTTTTCCTTTTTTTTTTTTTCCCACAGGGCATTATCAGGAAGGCATGGTAAGTTCATTTGATTATTGTCTCTTTTCTTGAGGCAGCCAGAAAGGTACATGAGTTCTCCAGTGCGTGGTCACTTTGATCAAGTGGCAAGAAAAGAGAGGATTTCAAGTTGCTCTGGCAAATATGTGCCACAGGCTGTTGTGGCAGTTAACAAAAGGGAAAAAAAAAAAACCATTGAAATCACTCTGACCATCTTTAAAACACATTTTATTGCTTTTCAGCACATGTTAATTTGCATCATGCTTTGTGGTTTAACCTCCAAAACATTATTGCAGTGATATTAATGGTCCTGAGTTCCCAGCATAATGTCAAATGGTGTCTTATCATGAACCAGCTGGTGAATGCTGATATTGTACATCCACTAGCTACTTATATTTAAAGATGTTGTATCATTATTCAGCAGACCTGCATGCCATGCAAGGTCCTGTGCCTCATGTGTCTCACTGCCAGGATTGAGGCTGGTCAATGGAGAACACTCACCTGAGTCTTGCTTGGTGTAAAGTCTGCCTTTTACAAATGCCTTTGGATCTACTCTAGCTTTTGGTTTTGGTTTTGGTTTGTTTTTTTTTTTAATTGAGGAATATGAATGTTTGTTGGGTCATTTGCTGTTATTCAGGTGATTGTTGAAACACAAATTGCTCAGAAAAGGTTCTGGTGCCTTTTTATATATTTTTCTGTTTTCTTCAGACGGTGACTGCAGTAGCACTCCAGTCATGCTACCTTAGGTTGGCTGCCCTGCTGGAAGTGCCCTAAATTGCATCTGAGAATGGCCCAAAACATCTATACAAAGGACTGTATTGCAGATGTATAATCATAAACCTGCTTGAGATGTTTAATAGTGCAGTCAGTGGCCCTTGGGGAAAATCTTCCTCTGTAGATGTAGAGACAAATGTAAACTCATGTTCTTCTGCAGAAAATGATTTGGTTACTTGGCTGTCTTTATGTGGCTGTTTAAGATCTCATGCATAAAGGTGCTATTCTTTGCTCATTTTTGAGAAACAGGGTATTTAGGTGATCCAAATCCTACCTGAAAATGATGCTTTTTTGTGACTAATAGAGAATAAGTTAATAGCAGCTCGCAGCCAGAGAGAAGTATGCAAACTATTTGGTACTTGGAATACAGAGACTATATTGAACCGTTTTGCTGACTGTGTTGTCTCAAATGAATGTGTGTCTCAGTAAGTGTTTATTCTGCACTGAAACAACTGCTGCTCAGTATATTTATGGCACTGAATGTTTTTCAGAAAGAGATGCATTCGACACTTTATTTGACCATGCCCCAGACAAGCTCAACGTAGTGAAAAAGGTTGGAAGGTTTTTATTTTTAAAATACCTAAAATACCATGTGCATGCTTGCATGTATTAGATGGTGTGGATGTGGTGTGTGTGGATATAATGTATAATTGGCATGCTTTGCATACATTAAATACAATTAAGCTTTATGCTTAGATACACAAAGTCATGATTATAATGTTACTTTTTATTTAATGTTTAGCAGCATGAACTTAACTTTGGAACATGGAACAACATATACTTATCAAAGTTTTCATCAGAAAAGTTCTCATAAAGTGTGTGTTGAGTAGAACCCAACTGGTACATTGACTGTACTGATGCCAACAAGATATCCAGTTTACAGCTGCCAGAGGTCTGACCCTGGAGTATTTTGGCTGCTGTCAGATTTGAGTGGAGTCCAATTACCGACTTCCCCGTAGTCTGCTAAAAATTTGGGGGTTTTCTTTGTTTTAACAGTGTGTTTCTTTTATATATATTGCATTCATTTTATTTCTGTTCTTCATTCTTGTAAGAAAATAATTTAAAAACAATTTTTAATGTCACATTTCAATTTCAAAATGTGGAGATTGTGTTGCAGTCTCTTCACTCATGCAGATTCTCTTCTGAGTGGAGTTCATACTGCTGGTGTTAAACTGCTGCCCTGCTGAATAGGCCTTCATTGCACTGTTCTTTTATTTCAGACTCTCATCACCTTTGTGAACAAGCATCTGAATAAATTGAATTTGGAGGTGACTGAACTGGACACGCAGGTAGGATTTTACAGCCTTTCTTAAAGGGGAGAAGTAGTTGCACTATGTTATGCACTGTACCCTCAGCTTTATCCAGAAATTTCACTGAATTATTACTGAATGAGCTCTAAGATGTTATTTCAGCAGGAAACCCTTCATTTCTAAATACATTTTGTACAAAGAAGACCCTCACAAATTAAGCATCTAAAACAATTTTGTACTTCCATTAGCATAAAAATTAATTACCAAATGCTACCTTCTGGGTGCTGCCAAGTGCTGTAAGGAGGACCTGCTTGTTTTGGCCAGGAAGGAATTGTGTGCCCTTGGTTTGCTCCAGTGCCAGGCTGAGCAGTGATTTCCTGCCTACCTTTGCAAAAGCACGCAGCCACATGGGATCACAATGCCTCTATTCAGGGGGAATTCGGGGATTCTCGAGAGCAAAGCTACTCAAGTGTGTAGGCAGCTGTACAGCTGGGCTGCAGGCTTGATTGCACCACAGAAATAATGTGCTGCATGCTCTTCTGTCTTGTTCTCAGCTGCTAAATTGGCTGAAAAGAAGCTAAAAGAAAAGCTTAATCCTGCTGTATTAATACCTCCCCCATGTGAACAATTGCAGCAGTTATCATAAGAAAATTACAGGGTCAGGCAGGAAGGGATGGGATCTGCACTATCAAAAAACCCCAGGTGTCTTCAGGTCAGGCTTTATTTTATGTCTTGATTCATGTTATTAAGAATCTCTGCTTTATTTGCACACCTACCAAGCGGATAGAGATTTTTTTAAAGGTAAAATTAAGATTTAGATGGAAATGGTGTGTAAAGGCTTTCAAAGGGGCATTCCTTATTTCTGCTTATTGCATTGTTTACCTTGGGGCTAAAGTACCTAGAAACTCCTTAGGCATTTATCTGAAACAGCATCCCCTGAAATGAGAGGTTGTGTTTCCATCAGTTCAAAGAAAATCACCTGCCTCAGGAGGGTGATGGGTTGATAGACCCATAGGCCTGTGACAAAACCACAGAAACATGGAATAGTTTGGGTTAGAAGGCACCTGCAAGATCATCCAGGTCCATCCCTCCAGCAGAGACACCTCCACCAGACCAAGTTGCTCAGAGCCCCATCCAGCCCTGTTCAGTTCCAGGGTGGGGCGTCCACTTCTCTGGGCAATCCTGTTCCATTGTTCAAAAAGAAAAGCAGGGAGCCATTTTTCAGAAAATGTATTGAGAAGCGTTTTTTTTTCCACAGTTTGCAGATGGAGTGTACTTAGTCCTGCTAATGGGTCTCCTGGAAGGCTATTTTGTTCCCCTGCACAGCTTTTTCTTGACTCCTGATAGTTTTGAACAAAAGGTAACTAGATTTCATTTTTCTGTTAAAAACAAACATGTCTAGTTGTAGAAGGATAACGCAAACTTTTCTGCAGAAGTTTGATGCTAATAGCTGAAATCAACAAATGACTGTACTGCTAACCATTTCCAAGTATTAAAAAAATCAGAATTAATACTTACCTGGAATAAAAGAGAAAATTATATTAATGATGAGGTGGTTAGCAAATATTAACAGATTTTGGCAGCCATTGTGTGGTGCTGTCATTGAACAAGACCTACTGTTCAATAACATATATAGAATTACACTGATGACAGAATTGATTTTTTTTTTTGTGTATCCAAAATCCAAGAATTTAACATTGGAAAGGTTTAATGGGTTTTGGAAACATAAAGGCATATATGTGCAATGTGTCAATTTAAAACCAACATTACATCAGTGTCTGTATCTATCTGGGCAATTCATCTGTCTGTTCAAGACAAGAGCACTTCAGGGGCCATCATGTTCCAATTTTTGAACTTGTAGGAGGTGGTCTGTGCTTACTTGTAAGTAATTTTAGTGAAGGTTGTGTTAGTTCATGCTAACTTTCAATTACCTTTATGTTTCTGCAACCACCATCACCCAGAAACAACAAAGCAACAGATTGTCTGGATTCCAAAGACCAGATACAGAGCCCTGACTGTTTTTATCTTTTGAATATCTGTGTCTGCAACTTTAAATATATCTTGTCTTGACCATTTGCACTGCTCAGAGTTCACAACAGTGACTGCCTTTGTTGTATTACCAGGTTGTCAATGTATCCTTTGCATTTGAGCTAATGCAGGATGGTGGATTGGAAAAACCAAAGCCAAGACCAGAAGGTAGCTATTTGACCTTTTTTGTATCTCCTTAAGAATTTGTGTTGGCTCCAGATCTTACAAGGTTATGGTGTGGCTAAATGAAGGTTAAGTTAATCCAGCAGCAAAAGGCAAGGTACATTTTGTAGTGCTCAAGGAACTCTGTACTTTAAATGCACTTTTTCAAAGGTTGCAATGCTTCCTTTCTTCACTGGCCAAACATATGCAGTAATACTCCAATATTCCCTGAAAGAAAGAGCACACAGTTGTGACTGGTGTCACTGACAGATGTGAATAGTTCCAATTGCTCCATTTTCCTCCATCTAACATTTTCACATTAACCTTGAGTATTCCAGTAATTAACAAGATTTTCACAAAAGAAGGAGATGTTGTGGAAGAAGAATTTCAAATGTTCACATACATGCCTTTGAATGCAGGACCTAATCATGCGTATTTAAATTAGATGTAGAGTTGGGGACTGACAGTAGAATATGCTTCAGGGAAGATAAAGGTTTTGCTGCTGACTTTAGGAGCATTGGGATTTCCACTCCATTCATACACATAGTGTTTAAATACAGCTTTTCAGGCTGGAGACAGAGCTCTTGATTCACCAGGTAAATGGGTGTTTTTGGAGCTCCTCCTGTGAGAAGTTGCCACTCCTTACCATGCAGGAGCTGGGCATGCAGCTTCTCCTCCCCTCTTCCCACCAGGAATGATATCTGGTCTCCTGCTGGTTACCTGCCACAATAATCAACGTAGCTGTGTCTTTTCAAGACCAGTTTCAGATTTATATTCCGTGGTGCTCGCAGTCTTTTCCTGCCACAATATTGGATTGTCATTCCCTGAGGAGTTGACAAAAGCTCATGTCAGAAGTGTTGCTTCTAACAGCCAGACTCCCAGGAGATTCAGGCACTCGTTGCTGGATCAGGTTCTGCTCTATTCAGGGATTTTTCCATCCCTCCCAACTTCCAGGTTATAGCAGCCACAGACACACACACACACAAATGCATCTCAGGATGGAGCCTGTGCATTAAATCTGGACCTACCCAGCTTGGTTTTCTTACTTCTTTTGATTGCTGGAACTCTCATCCACAGTCATGCTCACTGTACCACTGGTGAGTGTATCACAAGCCTTTATGTCTGAAATAGTCAAAGGGAGAATGGGGAAACAGTGAAATCGAGGGATCCAAGTAAAACACAGAGTATCTGTGATCCCTTACTCCCCATGGATGGTTTAAAATTCTTATGGCATTTAATTTTTCAGGTATTTATTGCTCTAGGGGACAGCTAATTTTTCCAGTATAAATCAAGCCATAAGGATATTTCAGCATATATAAGACATTTCTTGTGCAATTATTGAAATGCTTAATATGAAACTTCCTGCCCAAAGTGAATGGAAAAACACATCTGTTTTATGTGTTGTTACATTGGGCACAATGCCTGTACTTAAAATTTCCAGTGAGCAAAAGGGTATTGAAAGGGATCATACCCTAAATGTGTACACTAAATACTCTTTGAATTCCTACACTGTTTCTTTGAGGTTCTTGAGGAAAAAATATGCTGAAAAGTGCTTTAGAATATGAAAAACATATTTAGTGGAAAAAAAAAAAGAATGCAGTTAAATAAATGAGTATAAAAACCAATTATTTTTATGGGGTCAACAGTTTATTTGGGTTATTTGCAATATAATCGAAAAGGTCTTAAAAAGCTTTCTGTGACCTTTTACTTTAAAAATAGCTGGAACATTAATTTGCTGAATCTATAACAAATTCATTTACAGTTTGAGCTTTTTCAGAGCTCCTTGCAATGTGTACATGAAAGCCAAACTCAAGTTTCTCTTTTAGAAACTTGCAACCAGTAAAATGTTACATGTGTTGATCAAGCCCATGGAGCGATGGAAATAACCCATCTTTATCTGGCAGTGTGCTTCTTTTACTTTGAGCCCTTCTGTGGAATTCTGTTGTGGTGGTGGTGGTATCTTTTTGTGGTGCTGTCTTTGTAGAGACCTAACAAAGCTACTTCTTTAATAATAGAAATTCTGTATTTGGGAAAAAAATAATTCTGCACCTTGCTGCTGGCCTGAAAGAGGAAATTTCCAATGTTGCATACAAACAGTATTACAGATTGCAGTGGGATGTTGTGGGGGCAATGCACCCTTCCTGCAGCTTTTGGCATTTCCTCTTCATTTTATACCAAGCATTTTTCATCTGATTTATGAAGAGGCACAAACCCATGCTGCCTCTGGTTATATGACTCTGCACAAGCCTGGCATAAAATCTGGCCTTGAGTGTTTCCACTCTTTGTCCGTGGATGTAAATTCAATATCTTTAGTTGGCACACTTTAGGACACCATGCACAGGTTTGATTGGATTAATTATTCAAAGTTATTTTTGGATTAATTTTTGGATTAATTATTCAAAGTAATGATTTTTTATTCAAAAATTATTCTCACAATCTGTGAGAAACTTCAAACTCTGATGACTACAATACACCATTTACTGGGCTTACTTGGAGGTTTTGGCCAATTCCAAGAGCCACAGGTAGGAATTTGAGTTCCTATGCCCTCAGCAGAAAGAGATAGGACAATTCTAATTCCACTCTGCTCTTTCCAAGGGCAATTCTGAACCCCTGTTTGAGATTGACTAAAGCACTAGTGTAGACTGCTGCAGTAGTACTTGTCAGTTTGTTTTATAGATTTCTTGTGAAATAATATTGACTTTCTCAAGAACTGCTCTTTGAAACATAAGGTATTCATTAGCTTTTTGTTTCATATAAATCCTTTACTTTAGTTGTTGAGTTTCTGAGGACTGATTCAGCCATGGATGTCAGCTAACTCAAAGAATTTTCAGATGTTTGTTCAAGGAGCACTTGTACACCTAGCTTCTTTAGATCCTCTGGAAAATTTAAACTTGCCTCTAGCTATCTTGCTGAAATTGGGCCTAGTGAAGGATGTTGCAACCCAGAATGTGCCAGGTCCTACCATTCTTACATAAGAGGAAGGTTCCATTGGTTACTGCCTGATGACTTTCAAAATCATTACTTTTCAGCCACAACTGTCTGAAGATGAAGTCATATAAGTATGTATAATCCTGGGCACACTTAGACTCAGGAGAATCTGAGCTTGGCTACATTTCAGCAGCAGCAGCAGTAGCTATTTGTATCCCTAACTAGAAGTGGCTAAAACACCAAGTTTTGAGTTGCCAGTTTGAAAATTGTGTATTATTGATATTTTTACTCTTTTTTGCGATCCTTGTGATCTAATGTTCGTGGTTATTAATGTGAGCAAGGGAAAGGAGTAGAGAATGGGAAGACATTGGGAGCTAATGAAGTTACTAATTTGTATTTCCTTGTCTTTTTTCTAGATATTGTAAATTGTGACTTGAAGTCTACACTGAGAGTACTGTACAATCTATTTTCCAAATACAGGAATGTGGAGTGAAGAACTGATTTGAGTCACAAAGGAATGTTAACAAAGAAAACATCATAATTAGCATAGCTTTCATTGGTGTTCCTCTGCATCTCTATCCTAAAAGGAACAAAACCATTTACCTGGAGAATTTTTGGTTATTTGTTGATTATTCTGACACTAGTATTTTCACAATAGATTTAAAACTAATATAACTTATAGAGAAGAAGGGGTTTAGGGGAAGGTATCTGGGTATATTCTGGGAAAATTCACATCTTGGTTGTCTTCGCATTGTTTTTAATAGGTGAAGCAACAATGAAAAAAAATTTAGAAAGTTTAATTCAAATCAGCCTTTGGAGCCAATCCCAGTAGTATTCTCTACTAAGTACTTAATTATTTTTTATATATTTCTTTTTTTTTAATCTGGGAAAGGGAAGAGTATTTTCTATCCATGATAAGACAGTTCCATGGGGAGAAACAGTAAAATACACTTGTTCACATGACAGCTAAGAAGGAGAAACTTAACCTCTGAATATGTAGTTACAGTGCTATTATTAGGCTTTAATTTTATGTGTACAAGCTGAAGTGGCTGCTCATTCCTTCAGATTTACTATGCTGTGATACTCTGCTTCAATATGTGCTACTGAGCACTCCACAGACCCACACTTTGCAGCTTGTCACTTGTTTTTGTTCAAGGAAGAGATCTTTTTTGCAAATAACACTTTTCAGCATTCCACAGAGCCACACTTCGCAGTTTGTCACTTGTTTTTGTTCAAGAGATCTTTTTTGCAAAGAACACTTTTCAGGAAGACACATCTGTGTAATACAGCTTTTCTATAATATTTGTATTATTATATAATTTTAGAAAGTAGAAGAATGGCTAGTTTTTATTTTGGCAGTTTAATCAGAGGATTATCAGATTGCAAGTTTAGATTGATCGCTAAATGGAATTTAGAATTGTACCTTTGGTTGATTTTATGATGAATGTATGTTGCTGCATAATGCTCAACGCAAAAAAATACGATTCATTTTCTAGAAACGGCCAAAACTACTTCCATCTGCAAAGATTCCATTAGAGTGTAAAGTTCCTTGGTGATTTTACATGGCTACAAAGATTTTTTTTTTTTAAATTTAATTACCACCAATTGAGATGTTACCTGTTTGGTTTTGGCTTTAGCAAAGACACAAAAGGGAAATGGGAGTTGATTCTTCCCTTAGACTGGTACCAAGCACCAGTTGTGCTTCCAGAGGGAGCTGGTAGAGGCTGCCCGGAGCACTTCTAAAACAAAATGTTCCATTGCAACCACAAATTCTTGAGATCCTGGTTTACACAGTCAGGAAGAGAATTCCTCAGGCTGAAATTCCTTGATAGCTCTTCAGAAATGTTGGGACTGCTTAGTGCAGGAAGGAGCCTTGTTAACAGCCATCAATTGCAGCAGAACTGGCTGAGGTCAGAGGAAGGAAAAGAGATCTGTCAGTTCTTGAATCGTCATCAGGAGAAAGGCAGAGCTGGCAAGGATGCTCAATAACAGCTGCATGTTACTCATGATGTAAAGCATTACATAGTTTTCCATTTTCCAGGGCTATTTTTTTTTTTTTTTAATGTAGAGCTTTCCAGTATATCATTAGCACAGAGGGAATTCCAACAATTATTTCCTGTCTTTGCTAAACACCAGCTGATGTTTAGTAATAAGGTGATACTGACTTCTGCTGGGGGGCTATGAAAGTATTTTTCTGAGAAATAATATGAACTTTTTCAAGGGAAAGCCAGTATTCAATTCAAAGGACAATACCTGGATGTTCTCTGATCTTAGAAATTATCTGATTGTAATAAGCACTCTAAATGTCTTTATTAAAATATTTTTTTACCTGTGCGTTTTTAACTGAGTTTCTGAAATTAGAGGTACAGAAAACAGCAGTTATTTCCCCTTTACAGGGAGAAATAGCTGGACATTTTGACCTCAATGAAAATGAGCATTTTCATTATATTTTTAGTATCTGAGAAGCTAAACAATAGGAATTAACCAAACATTTTTTGAGCAAACTGAGACAGAAATTCTCATGTATATATTAGCAGCAATTTCAGCTTATTTTAATGTTTAACATGAAAGTTTTTCATTTGCACACCTAGTGGTAATTGCAATAGCTAATTAAAAAATGAATTATGTTTTTTCTTCAGACCATGCTCAGCTGCAACACCTTTACATTTCAACAGTGCTGAAAGATTTTGACAGCCTTTGTTTTCAGAAGTGCACTTTCTTTAAAGAGGAGATTTATATGGGTAAAGTGAACAGTGAAACTGTTTTCTTTGCCTGGACTTGCAAATAAGTATTTCTTGTGCTATATTGTTATAACATTATTGGAGATTTATCTGTCAGACGCCATTTCCATCCTTATAAAAGATAAAACTGACACAGAATTATTAACTCCTCATGCTGAAATGCAATTATGCAGAACCCTAGAAGCATTTAAACAATATCCAACCTTTCCACAATTATCTATCCTATGGTAAGAATTTATGTGAACTAAAATCTGCTATACAAACAACAGTGTCCTGTGTAAATATAGATCCATGTGATAGTTTTAACACCTACACACAAATAGTATATGCTGCCATGTAGGAGTGATCACTGCTTATATTTTTGACAGTGTAGATTTAAATAGCTATCAGATAAATACAAAATCTAATATAGAGATTATATCTAATATTTATTGCTTTGTTTCTGATTATAAGAGAAATATAGAATGCTACTGTAGACAGCTTGCTTTTCAGCAGTTGGTGTAGGGAAGGAAAGGGAAGGGAAAAGTTATCTGGGCCAAATTCTGCCCCACCTATGTTTCTTTTATTCTTGATACATAGCAGTGCACCCTGACATACTGCTGAAAGAAGAATTCTCCTTGCTGTTTATATCAAGCTAGAAGTTGTTTAAATTTTAGTCAATCCCAGGTTTATTTGTAATTACTTAAAATAATGAAGTAGACCTAAATGGATGGATTTAGCTCATGTAAGACACGAGCAGCCACCTGGAGAGGCCAGTTCCTCTGGTGGTCCCGGAGGGATCCTGGGGTCTCAAGGCTGAGACTTTGGATCCTAAAGCCAGGCAGGGTGAATCCAAGACCCTGCCTGAGCATCTCGTGGTGCTGCTGGGATCCCACCCACCAGACCAGTGTGCCTGTTTGTTGTGCTGTGGCACACGAAGGCCCATGGGCAGCTGAGCCTGCCAAAAAGTGGCCAAATCTTGGCCTGCCTTGAGTAGCAAACAAGCAGTAAACATTGCTGCCACTGGGGCATTGTGGAACCACCACAGTCCTGTTGTGACTTCTGATTCACCCATTGCATCCAGCAGTATGGTATCTAGGTTTCTTCTGTGGCTGGAAATGGGCATCCTTTCTCTCTTGATGGATATTGGCATGCTCTTTCAACCACACAAAACTTATTGTTTGGGTTTGTTTTTTTTTTTTTAAGAGGAGGTACAGATTTTTCATAGTGTGTCAACAAGGTGTTGTCAAAAGACTTACCTAAAATCCTAGTATCTTGAGGTCAGCTCCTTTCAATTTCTTTCTCAGCTGACTGGGTGTTATTTGCCATAAAGAATGAGTCCTGTGAAAAGAAGCCTTTGCATAATTTTACCCAAGACACATAAAGCCCAGAGTTGGATTGCTCTGTATTTCTAATGGAGTCCAAACGAACCAAGTTTCCAATTAAATTAAATCTTTACATTTCCTGGTCAGGAGTAGCTCCGTGTTACAGGGGCCAGCAGCCCTTGCAGCTCCATAGCTCAGGAATTCAAGTGGACCAGCAGGAGCTGGATAAGGTCCTAATTTACTGCAGTGAATTGTGGAGCAAATGGCAGGAAATCACCTGAGCCTCTGTCCTACAGAGCGTTGCAGTGCTGGGAAAAGATTGCATTCAAGCATCATGACCATGACCACGATGACTGGGGTACTTGGTTGGCTTTTGTTCATACTTTTTATTCTGTTTTAAATTAATCTTTCAGATTATTTTAGCAGACACCTTGCTGCAAGCCACAGTGTTGTAAAGCAGAATGGCTTTTAGAAGTTTATTTCATTAAATAAAGATATATGTGATATTTGGTATACTAGATGCCAGCCTTAGTCTAGTTTTTGTTATTCTTGTCTTCCTCTCAAAAGAACCTTCATTAATGGCCAAGCATCCAAAGAGAAAACAGTGCCTTGAAAACCTCTTGCAAGATTTTTACACTACCTATAGTAGACTTCTGTCATTTTATTGTAGGAATTAGTGTGGGCTTTCTCTTTACAGTTAAAGTACAATTACAGACTGGAGAAATCCTTTGTATAAAGTAGCTTGCATGAATATATTTTATTTTGATTTGTCACGTGAAAAATTGAGATAGCATCACCAAAATTTTAAAATTCGGCGTACCTCAGTATCCACAGATTTTTCAAAGAGGTGTTGAGTCATGCAACATTGACAAGGGCTAATTTTAAGTATTCTGAAAATATTTTGTGTGACTTTGTTTATGGAAGAACGAGATTTTCTTTTCTGTCTAACAGTGATGCCATGCACTCTACAACAGTAATAGAGTCATTGAAACATTTGGTCTTCAATTTCAATTCAATCAATTTCAAACTAACTGATAAAAAAATAATATTTTCAATATTTGCTAAACAGGTATTCAAAAATAATTATTCGTTTAAGTTAACCAATTGCCTTCAACTGCAGAGTTAGTAGTTTTCACAGAATATATGTACTCTGTAAGTAAAAGACACACTTTTGCTGATTGTTTTTTTCTGTGCTTTTCCTGAAACCTTTTGTTATAATCCACAATAAAATTTGCACCTGAAAATCAGCACTGCATGTTGTTGTTGGGTCAAAGGATGAGTTTCTGACAAAGAATTAGGGAAACTGTGTGTTTTGTGTTCTCAAAACTTCCAGACCTCTCCATGCACCCAACTCTTTTCCAGTAACCTCTTTGTGGGTGTGCAAGGTGTTTATTATTATATTCTGTGGGGGCTGGTGACAGCTGAACGGGGGTTGGCAAAAGCAATCATGTAAACATGTGTTTGAAATGATTAACAGCAGCAGGTCAGGAAAATGCTGTCTTTGACTCAAAATAGCAAAGAACCTCTTTACTTTTAACTTCGTGGTGCTGAGCACTTCAGTGGGGATATCCCAGCTGGATATAATGTAATTTTCTTCAGGGCAATTTTGTTAATTTTGAATCTAACAAAATGTTAGCAAAACATTGAAATTGTATTGTCTGTGTCAGAAAATAATTGCTTTTAGGAAAATTTTTGAGATCTGTTTTTTTATAAACTTGTTTTTGTTGCGACCCTTCAATGCAGGAGCTTCCTGAGCTTGGAACCAGTCCAAAATATAGGCATCTAAAGTGCTCCAGATCGACATTTATAGCCGCTGAATTACTGGCTGGGATCCAGAAGCAGGTGTTTGATCTTTAGGTCTGCTTGTAAAGCTGATGAAACCACCAAGCAGAGCTGCCTAATCAACAGGGAACACTAAAGAGAGGGTGAGTTTTAATGCCAGTCTTCAATCCCAGTCTGTTACTCAGGGCTGGATAGAAGCAATTCTGCTTGCTTAGGATCCACATTCTTAACCCCCACCATAGGCACCTGGAGCTTTTGTCCTGAATTTTGTGGGTTTTGTCCTGAAGAACAAGTAGACTTGCTCTTCTGCAAACATTGCAGTACTAAACAAAGGTCATGGTCTGGCTACCTTAATCTTCTCATTGCTGTTCATGCAGAAAGCAAAAAATGTGGCTTTAATACCCTTCTGCAGCCATGGCAGTCATTCCTCCTCCTTTTTAGAATCCTGCAGTATGAAATGAAGGTGAAATACTTGGAAATAGTGTTTTTACTATTGTTGCAGGGGCACTGTTGATGCCTAAGCTGAACTTGGTGTGTAGAGTAACTCCACATTAACTGAGACAGAAGGAGAGCAGAAGAGGGAACCTAGCTGGTGATTTAAGCTGTTGAAAAGGTGGAAAAGGATTTGGGGGAAGAACCTGCCTTCTGGGCCTCCTCTAAGGCCTGCTTCTGTATTTCAGTCAATCAAAAGGTGTTAAAATTCCCATACATACTTTGAAGAGAAAACAGGCTGACCTCTGTCCTGCCTCTGTTTCACTGTGAGGTTCCTGCTGAGCTTCTACTTTCTTTCCTCTCTGCCAGGAATGCACAATATATATATATAATGATACACTGAATGCCTGAATGCTGATGCTAGGATAAAGTACTTGTCTCCAAAGGCTCACAGTCCTGCAGGAGTGCAGGAGGAGAAGGGCTGTGCACATGATAGGAACGATAGGTGTGGATTAGGGACTGAGTGCCCCTTTCTGGACCTTTCTGCCTTTTAAGTTGTGGTGTAAAACCAGGAACTAAAAAGTGACCAGTGAGGCTGGTGTGGCTGCCAGTCCCCAGGGCAAGGGACCAGAGGAGGTAGGAAGGATGTTAGCTTAGAAGATTTCCACATTTCTATGGCGGAGATGTGGGTGCTCAGCCCTGGACCACCGAGGTAAGTAAATGTGTGGACTTTCCAGGTGTCTGGAGGAGGAATCCTTCCCCTTGAAGTTCTTCAGGGCCTGTTGCCAGCAGTACAAGCTGCTTGCATGAGACTTTCCTCTCTGTGACAGTAACTTAAACACTTCCATGTGCATGTTGTTACAATAATAGAGCTTTGAAGGCGTCAGTCCTGCATTTCTGAGCCTTCTGTAGCTCCAGATCTTTCTGAACTGTTTGTTACAGCACTTGAATAGACAGAAAGGACATCATTAGAGCAGGTCTGTGTTCTCAGTGGCATAAAAACCTTGTACATCTACTGTCTGAAACCAGCACTCACTCCAAACAGGCATAACCTCCAGCTTATTTTTTTCTGTTATCAGGACAAATTAACCCATTAGCTGCACAGACTCTATTGTGAGTCAGAGGTATATGACTCATGTGAATAGAACCCATTTCTATTCTGGTTTTAATTAACTTGGCCTCCACCCAAATCCTCCTTAGAAATGAAAGATACTAGATTAGCTGAAGTGTACAACACATTTTTATGGTTTGTGCTAAACCTACATGTGAATTTTTATAAGATAATGCTACAAAAAAATTATTCCTGTATTCCTAATTATTCCTGCATTAGTCTGAAAGGTAAGTGACAGGACTGCTGTATTTGACAGACTGTTAAGGTATTGTAATTTATCTGGTTGGATTGTTTGCCTTGCAAACTGTAAGAACAACAATTTTTAAAAAATTCAGAATTTTAGTACACTGGGAAAATATTGCCAGTCTTGATGCAGAGAAATGGAACGGGAATTTATGGTGGTTAGAATTTCAGTAAAAGTACAGTCTTTAGGTGGCACTTCCTATTGTGGTTTTCAAAATTTTGCTGCCTGAGATTTTTTCCTTTCTTTCTTTCTTTTTTAAGATAAAATGTAAAGATTTGGTCAGTGTCTTTATCAGTATTTCTTAGTTGGGTCATTGTGCCTTCTCTTTATAAATCAATATTAAAATCAAATAAACTCCTGAAATTTAAATTGCAGGGAGGGTAATCTGAGCCACTATTTACAGTAAAATCAAAACAGAAGTGATACTAATTATATTTACACAAGTTCAAAAGAATCAAAACAAAAACAGGGAAATAAAAACACCCCTCTCCAATCCTGACAGAAATCAAAGCGTGAATCTTACTTATCACTAAACTTTCCTGGTGGCACTTCAGGGATTCTGAATGCAAATGGGAAGCAGGCACTCAGAGATCGTGGTGGGGTGGGATGGCTCTACTGAGCATCTAAAGAAACAAGCACAGAATAAATGCAAAGAGGCTGAAGGGAAAAGAGAAAGGAATGTATCTTTCTGTGATCACTTTAGAGTTTGCAGCTCATATAACACGAGAAGGATGGGCCAGCTGGGCATAAACTAACCCAGACTGATAAATTAATCAGGAGTGGGCTCTGTGTGCCACCAGCTGTCTGCTGAGTAATAAGTTAGGTTTCTGCTCTGGTAGGGCCCAGGTTACCTGGAGGATGAAGAGGAGAGCTGGAGGGAAAAGGTCAGGTTTTAAAAGAGGCTTAGTTTGAGGAGCTCTGAAATGAAAACTTGCGTGTGGACCACTACTTCCCAGATTTTGCAGTCCCACAGTTTAATTCCAGTGTCTTAGAGCACTTAATGGAGATCTGCCCTCAGCTCTGCCTGCTGCCAGTTAGTCCTGATAAAGCCCTAACTCACCTTCTCGTTGCCTAAGTGGTGACATTAAGGCTTTCATCAAGGCAAGGAAATTAAAGGCACGTAGCAGACTCAGCTTCATTTAGCCAGAACTCCATGTCCAGACCCAGAGATTTTTCTGTCTTGGAGGGAACACTGTCCTCCCATGCCAGACAAGGTAGTGTGGCAGTGAATTGTTACATCTGCACTTCCCAGTCCCTGTAGAAAGATACCCAGGTGGTAGGAGGCAGAGTTAGGGCACAGATTTATCCAGATATTGTAAACACTTGTGCTGCATTTCAGGGATGTGTGTATTCCTCAGCTGGAAGTTTTGAGCATTACCTTCTGAAATTCCATTGCTGTTACTATCCATTGCTTTTCATTTTTCCTTTGCTACAGTGGATTTTTTATGCCATCATTGGTTGAGGTTGGATATACCAAACCACCTATCTTAGGTTCCTTTTTTATGCTTGTAGTAATGTCCCTCTATTGGACAGAGCTTCTTTATATAATCTATAAATCATTGTAGATCTACACCAGGGTGCAGAGAATGATGTCATGGTTTGACAGTAATGGGCAAATTTCTCAGAGTCACATCTCCCTCCTCTGGGGATATTTGTACAAGAAAATCTCTGCATCAAACCTCAGGATGCTCCTGTTGCCATGTGTGCTCAGAAATGGAAAAGATCCAGGGCTCTCCTTCACTTTATACTTAAGGAATGTTTAGTTGTGCCACCAGAAGGGGAAAAAGCATTTGTACCCTGATGTGAGGAAGGATGGGTCTTGCAGAAATTAAAATATTTCTCAGCAAACCTGTAATTTGCCTTCTGAGCACTTAAAGGAATTTAAGCTGAGCTATCCTGTGCTGCTGGGTCATCAACATTGTAACCCCAGAAGTCTTGTGACCCTCTGTTCTCTCCTCCAGTGTGACACAACCTCACCCAGTAATTTTGGTGTCAACACCATTAACTTCTACTGCTTCTTACACTTCTTTCCCAATGTCTCAGTTACCCAGGCAGACCTCTGGCACGGAAGATGAAACACCAACAGAAAACTGTTCTCTTAAGCCAGACAAAATTTTCTACTAGGTGAATTCCCCCAATTAAAAATCACAAGATTTGTTTCAAGGAATCAAGACACACCTGTTATTTAAACACAATTTCTTTTTTATTACTGACTTATTAAAACTCACCATTCTGTATTAATCAGCATTTCTTAATTAACATAAAATTCCCAAGGTTTGATACAATTCCACTGCCCACAATCCAGTTCTATGCTGTTCATTTCTATTTAGACTATATATTGCTAGAGCATGTGGGATTGTATTGCATGCTGCAATTATTTTCAGGGAGGACTGTGACACTTGGCCTTGATCTTGGCTTTCTCTAGTACAGAGCACTGTAAGTATTCTATATTTATTTATAACTTGCTGAGGGGAACATCAGAGGCTGCCTGACACTGTGCACTCTCTTCTTTAGATTGTAATTCTCAGATAGATCTCTCAGGAATTACAGGGAGGAGAGCTTTGCCATTTGGAGAAAAGGTCCTACAATTTAATCAGAACACAATTTTAGCCAACCAGCTAGTTCAATCAGCCTGTCCAATTATGGTGTGGGTTGAGCAAGACCCTGTGCTCAGGGTT